TATATATATATTTAAATTTTGTTTGTTTGTTTTTTACATATTTTTTCTATGTAATCCAATTCCCTGCCTGACCAAAAATTCTACTCTGTCTACAACGTTTACCTAATTAAATGTATTGTTTTTAGTGTTCTTGTAGATATACATATATATATATATGGGGCAAAGAAGTAATTCCAACAGTGTGGACAAGTTTAGGTTGTCAAATTTTCGGAGCGATCCGGTCCTTTATCAAGACACAGTGAAACAGAACAGTTACATGTACATATACATCATATTACAAGAAGATAGAACTGATATACTATAATTAAAAACAATAGTCCCCTCGGCTAAAGACAGCCGAACGTAGCAATTAAGCTGAGAGCATCGCGGACAAGGAACGCTGATGTAGAGGACCCATTCTTGCGCAAGATGCACTATCACATAAAGTGAGTCAAAGAGAGAGAGGCAACAGAAAGAAGGGACGAGGCATCAAAAACGTTTGTATATAGTGACTGTGCAGTTGTTAAGGTGAGAGTTTTTATAATTGATTGTTGTGTTATCGGTGTGAGGACGTGTCATTACATGGATTTTACTTAGTAATTTAAATTAATCAATTTTACATTGCAGGTGTCATCAGCAGAAGACGCGTACCCTTCTGGAACACCTGGGCCCGTTTTCAGGAATCCGTTATCATGCTCAAGCATGGATTATGTGCTCAAACGAACGTTCTTGTAACTCATTTAAATCATGTCAATTGATCAAAAAGTCAAATGTAAACATTCCTCGGCTTTAATACTTTTGATTTTTTCCCAAATTACTAACAAATTAATATTTTATCAATTTATAACCGGTACAAGAAATAAGGATTGAGCACAAAATGCGTGATTGAGCATGAGAAATGTTCATGAATACGGGCCCTAGTCTTTTTGTCCTTGTACATTTTTTAAGGTTTCATTTAATTTTGCCCTTGTTCATAATTCGCCCTTGTTTTATCGATGATTAGTTAGTTATGCTTCTGGTTTGTAGACACTCTGGTATAATGTTGGTGCTTTTTGTGTTAGATCCTCTTTTGTAATGTTTTGAGCATTAGTCTATGCTAAAACCTCAGAAATAAGGTTAATACTAAGTTCTATATTTGTTTTGGTTTTTCTTTTAATTGACAAATAACATTCATAATAACACAAACGATTTGGAAATAAACAAACTGCTGATGTAAATCCATCCCTTGTCTTTGTTTAATAGCATCAGTAAGTTTGTGTACTGAATATAAACAGCAATAGACAACCCTACAATGATACTTAGAGCACTGTGTTTTTATATTATAATCAGCAACAAATATGTCTCTACTGTTGTAAAGATCAAACATATTCATAAGCGTTATGATTTCGTCGGGTCAAAATGTTCCGACGTTTTTATTTCTGAAACATTTCTTAAGGTTAACGTTTGGGTGGCGCCATTAATGGTTCATAGGACAAATTCATTCGCAATTATATTTTGATAATTTATTTGTTTTGTTCGAGGTCTTAACTTTTCGCACAGGCTATATTCATATGAAAACGGGTGTTTTCCAATTAGCGAATACAGGCGAAAATAAAATAATGAATCTTTCCAGTAGTATACCTGTTACGACTAAATAAGGTCAGTCTTGAACAATTCGCCGTTCACTACACTACAAAAAGGATTTTATAGAAATAAATAAAACGGTACATGTAGTTTGTATCACAAGATACCTACGATAAAATACTCTATTATACTGACCACGGGGGAAGCGATTGCTGCCATTTCCCTAAATGCTGAAAGTAGCAGGGATTAACAACTACCATTTTAAGGAATTTGGTATGTCCGGCATTTGGACAGAACCCATTGTCTTTCTCGCTTGGGCGAACGTTCAACATTATAGGTAAATGTGAGGGGTTGAGAGACAGGACAAGGCGTTATATAACAACAGATAGCTAGAAGTATACGACAGAAATATGAAGAACCGAAATATTGCAATAAGTGCAGCAGATTTTACACAAATCCCAATTCTGCAGGGGGTTCCCGCAATAGTCGGCTCCTATGATCGTGTAGTGGGCAACAGCATATGTACTTTTTTCTCAATCCAGAACTGCAGGGGTGCAACACACTTGTGGTGGAGGATAAGGAGTAGATGTTTACTTTCCCATCTGTCCGAACGATATCTTATTTAGATATCGTGTTAAAAGCATTCACTAGATCAGGTACTGACCATCCAACAGTGACCCATCCTCGATAGCTAGGGGCTGCCCTCACTTACGCTATCTGTACCTCTGGGATATGTCGTGGCATAATTCAGGGCTCGGTGTGTGCCACCTTGTGGATGAGATAAGAAGACTAGTTTGATCCTTTGATGTACATCCAAATAATCTAGCGGTCGCGTAACGGTAAAACTTACTGGCTTTGAAATCGGATGCCGCTCTTTTGTTATTTTGAAAGAACATGAATATATCAGTTGATACAGCTGGAGTAGTACTACACTAATATTATCAAAATTAGGTCACTGTGACCTATAGTATCTGCTTCACCGACGTGCTGATACTTTGCGTTATAAGTTCCATTCTTTGATTAGACTTCGAACTGTAAACAAGTTGACAAGAACGAAGCACCATCTCGACTGTCCATGCCGCGGTTAGTATACATAAGGTTGATACACTACGGTGATACCATCACGACTACTGCGTGTACATAGCCGTGTAAATCTGTTGTTCCTGTCAGGAAACAGCAAGTCCCTGTCAGATGATCTCTCGTCTACATTCGTCAATCATCTCCGAGCTCCCAGTGGTCAAACTCTGGCCATTGATTGATGACCTATTCACTTACCTGTAGAATGTCGCACCTGACCGGAAACCTGGCTGATAGCCAACCGCAAAATACCAAAACGTCATTATCACGCAAGCTCTTATACTTTTTGTCGTCATACTCGACATTATGCGTGAAAACAAATGAATGTTTATTTTTTTTATTTTTAGGAAATATTACACCTACTTTGCTCGCTTTAACCATCAGACGTGATTTATTATTTATATTCATTGCGTAATTATCATGTATTGGTTTTATGCCGATTATATCCTTTGTAGTTGTATTTTTATATTTCAATTCTTCATTTCATATCTTTTTCACTTGTGAAACAAAAGGATCTGACCACAGACAAAACGTATATCACCCATGTCCCACTAACTCATTTCAGAATATCCAGTAATTTTTATCTTGAATAGAGAACATGCTATAAGATACTTTTCTATGCTTGTACTATTTACCCTCTTCATGCAAGCCAGTTTCTTCTTAATTTAGTATACAAAACACAAACAAAACACATAACTAAACAACTGGCATTGATTTTATCGTTCAGTATATTCCGTTCACGCTCAATATCCTTACATTTTGCACTATTGTCACTCAATAATTGTCCCACAGCATGCAAATGTACAAAAAAATTTTAACCGCACGTTTAAATGTCAACGATAAGGTAATAACGTCATCTTCGGAGAAAGAGAAGCAGCGATTTTTACAAATATCTTTTTTTTACAATGCACCTCTGTATAAGATATCAACCGTCTTCTGGGTTAAAGCGTCAAGCATAGCCCCCACCCCCACCCCTGGAATATTAGTTATTAGTTCTCGAGACTGTTACGAAGACACATTTTGCCACAACGCTGGTTTTTTTTTAGATATTATCACAGATTCGTTTTATGAAAACCTTGAATTTTTCTTTTTTTTAACATTTTTTTCACGTCACGCCAAGCAAATATTCCTACATTAGAAAAGCGCGGGAATGTGTAGCGTATTTTTTGACGCCAAGTTCTTATGACTTCACGCTTGACATCAATACAGAGCGCCATGTTCACTACAATTTTGCCGTTTGCTGCTATTATCTGGTAAGATGATATCAATAGTGTAGTTATGTAAAAACAATAATGTATGCTGCATAGGAGGAACACACAACCACTTATTTTGCCGTTGCTCCATCTAAACTTGAAACTGAAAATTTACGCAGAGAATTTAATGTACTGTTCAGATTGGACCATACTAAGAGTGACGTGTGAAGATATAATATTTCGTATATATTCACTGCATTGACGATTTGTTTTTATCAAATGAGGAATTCATGATTTTTCACTAATAAATACAAATACCGTAAGGGTTTACTATCATATTTTTGTAGACAATATGCGGCCGTAATTTCCCAGAAGGCTTTCACGCATGGGGAAGCAACGGAAGTGGACAAAGTGTTTAAAGATCAAACCCCGGCGGCACTTTGCGCCGCTTTGGGGTTTGAAAAAAAAAATGGAAAAAAATTGGGAAAGGTTCATCCTTCTGAAAAATAGGCAGAGGAATAAGATGAATAGTTGAGTTGACCACTATCGAAAATATCTTACCCTAGGTGGAAATAGTCACCAAATGCTATATTACACAAGACCGAACTTAAAGCTGATAATGGAAGTTAAAAAACACTCAATTGAGATTTTATTTTAAAAGTGTTCTTTTTTCTGGTTTTGAGATCTTCCCCATCTCTTTCGAGTATCGTTTCTAAGGAAGTGCCGACATTTTAGTCTGTCCTTGCTTGGTAACGAGTATGGGTCTCGCTGGGTATAAAAAGCGTATTACCTTTTATTTTTTTAATCTCAAATGAAAGCTTTTTAACTTGCCTTGTCAACTTTAACTGCATATTTTACATTATACTGAAGCTCAAATTTGACACTGCCTACAGCAAATCGCTTCTCTTACTATCAAGGCTGTATCCTCTGTCGTCAGTTGCTGTTTACGTTTGTTACGGAGTCCTGCGTCATTGAAACGCTTCGATTCATTTGAAGCAACATACAATCTGAGTCAAGCGTCCGTTTGTAACAAACTGCGCAATAATTGGTATGTAACGATTCTGGAAAAAAGTACATGTTGAAAACGCAGCTTTTTCACCTTTAGGACAATGTCTATACAAAATGCATGTTATATGATAAATGAAATAATGATACCATAAATAAAAACAAAACGTTGAATTTATAATAGTGTATTTCAGTAACCAATAAATATATTTGTAAAATAATATATCCACGAAGTTTCATTCAACCTGGAAAAAAGAATGGAAAATATTTACCAACAAATCAGTAGGGCACGTAGTTTGTAAACAAATAATTAAAATATTTGCGACTTATATATGATATAAACCTCCAATGGTCACGTTTTGTAGAACAGGTCATCATGTTATTTTTGCTTTATGGAAACTTTCTATAATCTCAAATAACTCCCCGGGAAAGCAGTTTAATGTATAAAGTATAATCCAAATACTTCTTTGTAAACTTTGATTGGGAAATAACTGACGTCACAATAGTTATCAACGTCACTCCTTATACATCATTGAGCATATCAGATAGACACGCAACACAGTAGACTTTTTCTCTCTGTCTCTCTCTTCATAACTCTTAATCCAGTTACGCTTGTATACAAATAAGATAACTTACCAACATAAGCTTGAAAGCTCTTAGAATATATTTAATTTTTATTAACTAAAATTCAAATATTGTAAAAGATAATTAGTCAATATGGTCAGCCAATTTGTTTTCGGAAACTGTCGAAAACTTTTAATTGCTTTCGTCCTATGTCATTTCGTTCGGAAAAACCTATTCCTCTTCGTTTGAGTTTTGTGCATAAGCCGAGGGGTTTCGGGTGATTGTCAAACTAGCAGATCACGTACGTGCTTGAGTTGTGTGAACAAGCCGAGGGGTTGCGGGTGATTGTCAAACTTACCGATCACGTATTGGCTAGTTGTCAATAAACATGCGTGACTGCACATCCAGTAACGGCTGATGTCGTCGTCAAGGTGACCGCCAGCGGGACCCGGATGACTATTGAGGGGGTCGTGATAACTGCTTCCTCTACAGAAATATAATTTTCAGAAATAATATAATTTTTATTTTATAATACTTTTGCTGGTTTTATCTGAGCAGTTGTCAACTAGTTAAATTATATACAAATTCATTTTCACCCGTTCTAAAGTTTCATCTCTATATAGTTTTCGTCAGCGGCGTCCTTTTTCTTTTTTTTTACATTCATCCCATAAGATCTTTCCGAATAACTTTATAACAGCCCTATCTTGTTGCTGTTTGACACAAAGAGATACCAAGTAACCGCTATAAAGGTGTGACGTATATTGAATTACATCTATATTTACGGCTGTTGTTGATAAAACAGAAGACGCTTCCGGAAAGTCTGTTTTTTTTCTCCTTGTACATTGTAAAGGTCTTAACGTTTAACTTTGTTTTGTTCATATTTTGCCCTAATTCCATCGATTTGGGGGTTATGGTTTCGTTGACACTTTGGTGTTTTCTTTTTTCTCTCGTAGTCCAAGTCATCACAAAATCCGTTATGCCATTCACCAGCCCAGTGGCGGATCCAGAGGGGATTTTTCGGCTTAAGGAAACACCCACCCCCACCTTGAGAATTTTCTTTAAACATCATGTATTTTCATCATTTTCCTAATTTTTTCCCGACCTACGGTTTAAACACGTTCAGATCAAAACAAATTTATTCTAAATAATGAAAACATACCATTATCAAAATAACCCCTAATGTGCTTATTTATAGAATTCGAGTATGTGGCAATGAGAGAGGACATATAAACGTTTCAGTATCCAAACAGGTCATTCATATAATCATTTACGTTGATAACCTAACATTATTGCTATTTTAGTCTTGACTCTAGTAACAAGAATCGTCAGCTGTTAGAATACTTACCTCAATAATTCTCCAACTTGACTTAAAATATCGGCAGAGTCTTCGTCGTCGAAATCATCGTCGCTGTTTCTTTCGGGGTGGACGTGGACATCTGGTCCTCCTTTATGGTTCTCGTGCCAGTCGTGTCCGACGTCGTCCTGGTCCTCCGGAGGGTTAGGGGGATGTTTGGGGTGCAGACAGTTAGTGACACAGCTGGTGAAGGACTGTACAACAGGCGTCACGTGACTTTCATCCTTATCCAGTACTGCAAAGAATAGTTTGAACATTGTAATGTTGCTTGTATATAGTTTAAACAAGCTGAGTTACAATCTTCCCAAACTGAACGATAATGTTTCTGTTTCTGTAAGGGAGAGACTAACGCCATGTACTATATTAGTGTAATACCTGATAGAATTGGCTTCAGATATCTTACTCTACCCATAATGCATTTTCCATTTCAAGATATATGAAAACGCATTCAAAAGACGATTTGTTTTTAAATCATCTATTTTTGTTTGTAATTGTTCTTGTACATGTATTTCGAAAAAAAATATCAGTTGATTTGGTTATTATTATGGATTTTCTCGCGGATAAATATATATGAGTAAATTATCATAATATTCATTTTCTTTGTCTACATTCGCGTTTCAAGGCATTTGAAAGGACATACTGGAAAAAGAAGATTACAGAATGTTATGACAAGCAGATTTCATTGAAAAATGTAAGGATAAACTGCTTTCAGATGCGGTTCATGGGCGATATAAATGAACCTCGTCAGTGGTTCATGGAATATTTTCCTGCAATGCTTCGGGCATTAATTTGTCTATGAACCGCGTTATTCATAGTATTATGACAAGAAACGGTATTTCCTTGGTTTATATAATGACACTGCAGCGTAAACGTGAATATTATATGACGCACAGTTTCTCCACATCTTCATTGGTTTGTTCATAATCACGTGGACGTTTGTTCATAATCACGTGGACGTTTGTTCATTGTAACGTGGACGTTTGTTCATAATCACGTGGACGTTTGTTCATAATCACGTGGAGGTTTGTGATTTGTAATGTTGACTTGGTCTTACAATTTTAAGAAAAAGCTATTCAATTTCCACTTAACAACGTCATTTCAATTTGTAAACGTCGTATAGCTCTCTACTAAATGCAGTATTTTCCTCCCGAATATTTTGATACGTTCTGGATTTTTATAATGATTTTAACATTACTTAGCATCTAATGTAACAATTAAGGACTTTTATCTCGATGAATTTGTGGTGTATTAAACTGAAAGAGCTATGTATTAACCTCGACTTCACGTATTCACTTCAAAAACGTCCATAATTGATAACTAAAATCTAATGTAGAATTTTTATATATTTAATGGAGAAGAAAGGAAATCTAATTGTTGATTACTAATAGGTTTGTGTGAAATACTTCTGACTTCCCTAAGTGATTGGTGCCTGGGCAAATGAACCCGTCGTTGTTGTCATTAGCTTCATACTGACTCCTTTGACCTTGACTAGCTAGCTCCAGTGTCGGTTTACAAAACGGATTGAATATTTTGAACGACTATTGTAAACGATGGAAATTGAAAATTAATGTGGAAAAATCTAAAGTGATGGTGTTCAGGAAAGGAGGAAGATTACCAGAAAATTTAAGGTTTTACTTGGGTGAGGATGAGATGCAGATAGATAAGAAGTTTTCATTTTTAGGGGTTGCTTTTACTCCAGGTGGGTCGTTTTCTGAAGCCCAATTAACTTTATCGGGCCAAGGCTCGAAATCTTTATTTCAATTAGAAAAACAGTTGCAAAAATTTATAAATTTAACACCAAAACATGTGTTTGGTTTGTTTGATAAACTAGTATGTCCTGTATTGAGTTACGGATGTGAAGTTTAGGGTTTTTATTCGACGATGGCGATAGAAAAACTGCACTTGAAATTTTGTAAGCGGTTACTTGGAGTTAAATCTTCTACGCAAAACAATTTTGTTTATGGAGAACTAGGTTGTCTTCCCCTTAAATTTAAAAGATACGTTAAAATTATGAAATATTGGTTAAAAATTGTTCATAAACAGAAGAACGTTTTGGTCCAGTCAGTCTATGGTGAGCTTTATACACAAGCGGAAACGTCACGTGTGACAAATTGGGCAAAGTTAGTGAAAAAATTATTATGTACTTGTGGTTTCGGATATGTATGGATTGAACAAGAAGTTGGAGATGAAAAAGTATTTTTAGAATTATTTCAGACCAGAGTGAGGGATATTTTTATACAGGATTGGCATAGTGCTCTTGTTGACTCGCCAAGAGTAAGATGTTATATATGTTTATCAAATGAATTTGGTTATAAGAAATATCTTGATGTAGTAAACGTTAAAAATTTTAGAAAAACTTTAACAGCGCTTCTCATATCTGCCCATAGATTAAATATAGAAACAGGGAGATGGCATAGACCTAACCCCATACCTGCAGAAATGCGATATTGTAGTGCGTGTACTAAAGTTGAAGATGAATATCATTCTGTTATGGAATGCCCGTTATACTCTGAAATTAGATCAAAATTTTTGAAAAAAACTTATTACTGTAGGCCAAATATGGACAAATTTGTTGAACTTGTTTCTTCAGAAAACAATTTCATTATTAGAAATTTAGTTATGTTTATTTACAAAGCAAATGAAATTAGGCATGGAATTTTGTTTAATTTATAAATCAAATTAATTCCTTGCATCCTTCGCTTCGCATTAATTTTTTATTAAAGTCTATTGCATCATGTGTTCATGCTTACTATTGTGAATGAATATGTTCCTTGTAAATGTGTGTTATTTTGCTGCTATAAAATTCATGTAAATATGTATTTATTATTGCCATTATGTCATTGCCATGTTTTAAATGTGTGTAAAGCACAAAGACATTGTTGCCTATTGCAAATTAAATAAAGAGGCATTATTATTGACTCCTTTAACCTCGGGGTCATATGGACTCAGTTGACCTTGGAGTCATATTATTGACTCCTTTGACCTCGGGGTCATATGGACTCCGTTGACCTTGGAGTCATATTATTGACTCCTTTGACCTCGGGATCATATTGAGGTTGACGTTAACAGAGGGGAAAGCAGATTATCGCAATGAACCCTTGGATAAATTGATGATAAATGATTACGTATCAATCGCTCAAAAGACATAAAATAGACCGTTGTCGACGTCATACTGTTGGTCAGAGGCTATTTTTAAACAATATGTATAATTATACCGGAAATATCACTTTGAGTGGAGAATTAGACTGGTGATTAAAGGATACTATTGAACAATCTACTTATACCGGAACTGTTACGTACAGTGGTGAATTAGACAGGTGATAAAAGGATACTATTAAACAATCTACTTATACCGGAACGGTTACTTAAAGTGGTGAATTAGACTGGTGATTAAAGGATACTATTGAACATTCTACTTATACCGGAACGGTTACGTACAGTGGTGAGTTAGACTGGTGATTAAAGGATACTATTAAACAATCTACTTATACCGGAACTGTTACTTACAGTGGTGAATTAGACTGGTGATTAAAGGATACTATTAAACAGTCTACTTATACCGGAACTGTTACTTACAGTGGTGAATTAGACTGGTGATTAAAGGATACTATTAAACAATCTACTTATACCGGAACTGTTACTTACAGTGGTGAATTAGACTGGTGATTAAAGGATACTATTGAACATTCTACTTATACCGGAACGGTTACGTACAGTGGTGAGTTAGACTGGTGATTAAAGGATACTATTAAACAATCTACTTATACCGGAACGGTTACTTACAGTGGTGAGTTAGACTGGTGATTAAAGGATACTATTAAACAATCTACTTATACCGGAACGGTTACTTACAGTGGTGAGTTAGACTGGTGATTAAAGGATACTATTAAACAATCTACTTATACCGGAACGGTTACTTACAGTGGTGAATTAGACTGGTGATTAAAGGATACTATTAAACAATCTACTTATACCGGAACGGTTACGTACAGTGGTGAGTTAGACTGGTGATTAAAGGATACTATTAAACAATCTACTTATACCGGAACGGTTACGTACAGTGGTGAGTTAGACTGGTGATTAAAGGATACTATTAAACAATCTACTTATACCGGAACGGTTACTTACAGTGGTGAGTTAGACTGGTGATTAAAGGATACTATTAAACAATCTACTTATACCGGAACTGTTACTTACAGTGGTGAGTTAGACTGGTGATTAAAGGATACTATTAAACAATCTACTTATACCGGAACTGTTACTTACAGTGGTGAATTAGACTGGTGATTAAAGGATACTATTAAACAATCTACTTATACCGGAACTGTTACTTACAGTGGTGAATTAGACTGGTGATTAAAGGATACTATTAAACAATCTACTTATACCGGAACTGTTACTTACAGTGGTGAATTAGACTGGTGATTAAAGGATACTATTAAACAATCTACTTATACCGGAACTGTTACTTACAGTGGTGAATTAGACTGGTGATTAAAGGATACTATTAAACAATCTACTTATACCGGAACTGTTACTTACAGTGGTGAATTAGACTGGTGATTAAAGGATACTATTAAACAATCTACTTATACCGGAACTGTTACTTACAGTGGTGAATTAGACTGGTGATTAAAGGATACTATTAAACAATCTACTTATACCGGAACTGTTACTTACAGTGGTGAATTAGACTGGTGATTAAAGGATACTATTAAACAATCTACTTATACCGGAACTGTTACTTACAGTGGTGAATTAGACTGGTGATTAAAGGATACTATTAAACAGTCTACTTATACCGGAACTGTTACTTACAGTGGTGAATTAGACTGGTGATTAAAGGATAGTATTAAACAATCTACTTATACCGGAACTGTTACGTACAGTGGTGAGTTAGACTGGTGATTAAAGGATACTATTAAACAATCTACTTATACCGGAACGGTTACTTACAGTGGTGAATTAGACTGGTGATTAAAGGATACTATTAAACAATCTACTTATACCGGAACTGTTACTTACAGTGGTGAATTAGACTGGTGATTAAAGGATACTATTAAACAATCTACTTATACCGGAACTGTTACTTACAGTGGTGAATTAGACTGGTGATTAAAGGATACTATTAAACAATCTACTTATACCGGAACTGTTACTTACAGTGGTGAATTAGACTGGTGATTAAAGGATACTATTAAACAATCTACTTATACCGGAACTGTTACTTACAGTGGTGAATTAGACTGGTGATTAAAGGATACTATTAAACAATCTACTTATACCGGAACTGTTACTTACAGTGGTGAATTAGACTGGTGATTAAAGGATACTATTAAACAATCTACTTATACCGGAACTGTTACTTACAGTGGTGAATTAGACTGGTGATTAAAGGATACTATTAAACAGTCTACTTATACCGGAACTGTTACTTACAGTGGTGAATTAGACTGGTGATTAAAGGATATTATTAAACAATTTACTTATACCGGAAATGTTACTAACAATGGTGAATTAGACTGGTGATTAAAGGATACCATTAAACAATCTACTTATACCGGAACTGTTACTTACAGGGGTGAGTTAGCCTGGTGCTTAATGGATACTATTAAACAGTCTACTTATACCGGAACTGTTACTTACAGTGGTGAATTAGACTGGTGATTAAAGGATACCATTAAACAATCTACTTATACCGGAACTGTTACTTACAGTGGTGAGTTAGACTGGTGATTAAAGGATACTATTAAACAGTCTACTTATACCGGAACTGTTACTTACAGTGGTGAATTAGACTTCCCAATGACGTCTTGTTTACGTGACTGCTGTGATCGTGACTACCTGTAAAATAGACATGTTTACGGAAATGAAACATGTTTTATCAAACTATATTAATCACTCTGTTAGCTCTGATGGATAGGTACAGGTGATGTAAATGTGGGAGGAAACCGGACTGTCCGGAGGAAACCAGAGTGACCGGAGGAAACCAGAGTGTCCGGAGAAAACCAGAGTGACCGGAGGAAACCAGAGTGTCCGGATGAAACCGGACTGCCCGGAGGAAACTAGAGTGTCCGGAGGAAACCAGAGTGACCGGAGGAAACCAGAGTGACCGGAGGAAACCAGAGTGTCCGGAGAAAACCAGAGTGACCGGAGGAAACCAGAGTTTTCGGAGAAAACCAGAGTGACCGGAGGAAACTAGAGTGTCCGGAGGAAACCAGAGTGACCGGAGGAAACCACAGTGCCCAGTGAAAACCCACATGGGGCCTAGTACCTAGTACCTGGAGCCTAAGTTTCTAACGATCGCCACACAGACACAATTTCGACTGTTATATATTTTTGTTTATATATCAATTATAATTATCATTCATTTTTTTTCAAAAAAAGATCAGATCATGTTTTTTCACATGTTCTCTGTATCTGTTGAAACCATCAGAGATAGGTTTTTGAATTCATCGTCTAGACTAGCTCATCAGGAGAATAGACTATAGGTTAGTTGGCACGGATATGTTCCTGTTGACATACCAGCAAAATCACTTGTAGCGGAGACAGGATGAAGGAAACAAAGGAGGGGGAAATATTCATAAATTGCACGCGTATCAACCGTCGTTAGATGCACGAGTTCGATAGATATTCAAATGTAACCCATTTATCGAAAAAGTCTTTCAGTTTTCGGAAAGGTTGTATTACAATATACCAACTCAAGGGAAGTAATTCCTACTGGACATCTGAATCGTATTAAGTCTGTGTTGCCTCCCTTAGTATCATTTCACACACTTATACATAAAATAAACGTCTCCTACTCACATTTAAATTGTATCAAATTCTCCCCTCCTTCCCCTCCCTCTTATTCTCTCCCCCTTCCACCCCTTTCTCTCATTCCCCCATTTTCACCTCCTTCCTTTAATTTTCCCACTCTTATTTTCCCCTTCAACCTCCTCCCTTTAATTCTACCCCTTCCACCCCTCCCTCTAATTCTCCCTTTCCTACCCCGACCTCTATTTATCCCCTATACATTCCCTCTCTATATTACTCCCCCTTTCACCCCTTCCACTAATTCTACCCCTTTCACCCTTCCCTCTAATTCCCCCACTTTCACCCCTTCCTCTAAATCTCCCCCTTCAAACAGCTCCCTATAATTCTCCCCTTCCACCCCTCCCTCTAATTCTCCCTTTCCTACCCCGACCTCTATTTATCCCCAATACATTCCCTCTCTATATTACTACCCCTTTCCCCCCTACCACTAATTCTACCCCTTTCCCCCTTCCCTCCAATTCCCCCACTTTCACCCCTTCCTCTAAATCTCCCCCTTCAAACAGCTCCCTATAATTCCCCCCTTCCCCCCCTCCCTCTAATTCTCACCTTCCACCTCCTCCCTCTCATTCTCCCCCTTTCACCCCTCCCTCTACTTATTCCCTTTCAACCCATCTATCTAATTTTCAACTCCCACCTCCTCCCTTTAATTCTCCCCCTTTCACCCCTCCCTTTAATTCTCCCCCTTTCACCTGCTCCCTTTAATTCTCCCCCTTCCACCCCCTCCCACTAATTTTCCCCATTCCATCCCTCAATTTAATTCTCCCCTTCCCACCTCCTCCCTCTAATTACCCCACTTTCACCCCTCCCTATAATTCTCCCCCTCCTGGCCCTCCTACTAATCTTTCCCTGTTACCCCCTCTAATTCTCCCCCTTTCACCCCTCCCTCAAATTCTCCCCTTTTCACCCCTCCCTCTAATTACCCCACTTTCACCCCTACCTATAATCCTCCCCCTTCCACCTCCTCTTTCTAATTCTACACTTTCACCCCTCCCTCTAATACTCCCCCTACACCTTCCCCTAATTCTCCCCTTCCACCTCCTCCTTCTAATTCTCCCCCTTCCACCTCCTCCTTCTAATTCTCCTCTTTCGCCCCTCTCTCTAATTCTCCCCCTTTCACCTCTACCTATAATCCTCCCCCTTCCACCTCCTCCTTCTAATTCTCCACTTTTACCCCTCCCTCTAATACTACCCCTACACCTTCCCCTAATCCTCCCCCTTCCACCTCCTCCTTCTAATTCTCCACTTTCACCCCTCCCTCTAATACTCCCCCTACACCTTTCCCTAATCCTCCCCCTTCCACCTCCTCCTTCTAATTCTACACTTTCACCCCTCCCTCTAATACTCCCCCTACACCTTCCCCTAATTCTCCTCTTCCACCTCCTCCTTCTAATTCTCCTCTTTCACCCCTCCCTCTAATTCTCCCCCTTTCACCCCTACCTATAACCCTCCCCCTTCAACCTCCTCCTTCTAATTCTCCTCTTTCATCCTCCCTCTAATTATCCCCTTTCAACTCCCAGCCCCTCCCTCTAATACTCCCCTACACCTCCCTCTAATTCTCCCCTTCCATCTCCTCCCTCTAATTTTCCCCCTTTCGACCCCTCCCTCTAATTCTCCCCCTTTCACCCCTACTTATAATCCTCCCCCTTCCACTTCCTCCTTCTAATTCTCCTCTTTCATCCCTCCCTTTTATTATTCCCTTTCAAACCTTCACTCTATTTTCAACTCCCAGCCCCTCCCTCTAAATCTCCCCTTCCATCTCCTCCCTCTAATTCTCCCCTTCCATCTCCTCCCTCTAATTCTCCCCTTCCACCTCCTCCCTCTAATTTTCCCCCTTTCGACCCCTCCCTCTTATTCTCCCACTTTCACGCCCTCCCTCTAATTCTCCTTTTTCCACCTCCTCCCTCTACTTCTCCCACTTTCACCCCTCCATCAAGCACCTCTCCCTCTAATTATGTCTGTACTTACTGGGACTACTGTGGTGCTGGTGCGGTTTTTGTTCCGGGGCCTGCCCGTGGTGGTGTGGTGAGTCTGATACAAATAAAGCAACATTTGTTTTTAATGTACAAACAGGACAAGGATTGTGGCGAATCGAGAGACGTAATTGTTATGGAGTTAAGAAGGTGGAGGTGGATGTTAAATTTCTATGTTATGTCAGTTCTGTTAGATTATCTCATTACACGTATAAATACAAAATGGTAAGTCACATTTATAATAATCTATTGGTATACAACATTCATATAGCGCATGATTTTCATGTAATTTGTAAAGTTGCTCTTAGGCGCTTTACAACACAGGAATAAAAGTATTTCTGCAACAACAATTATAGATATCGTAGATAGAAAATGCACGCATATCAGCATTATACATTAATTAAGTAGAAAATCATCTCAATATACATATAAATAAATATATAAAGGGTGATGTGTATATGACGTTTGTGCCAAGAGCCTAGAATGCAGACGTGAATATCCTTGAATTTATCAAGGGTTTATCATCATTATCAACAACAACAACAAATCAAAAAGAGCACTTTCAACATTAAAACATTGACGTCAAAAACAACGACAATGAAAAATAAGGAAAAACTCAGGCATCAAAAACAAGAAAAACAACAAAAACAATAACAAAAACAGTTTAATAAACGTGTCCCTTGTATGTCATACAGTACTTACCAAGGATGAGATCGACGTGGGAACTTGATGTAGGGTTTGGGGCATCTACGGTAATCGTTGTAGGGAGACTTCCTGAATAATATCAAAAACGAACTGATCAACTGGTGACGTATTTTTGCCTGTCAAAAGAAAACTCGAATAAACGTGTCAGAAGTATAGATACTGTAGCTAACTGTGGCTTCTGTGTCAGAATTATAGATACTGTAGCTAACTGTGACTTCTGTGACAGAAGTATAGATACTGTAGCTAACTGTGGGTTCTGTGTCAGAAGTATAGATACTGTAGCTAACTGTGACTTCTGTGACAGAAGTATAGATACTGAAGCTAACTGAGGCTTCTGTGTCAGAAGTATAGATACTGTAGCTATCTGTGGCTTCTGTGTCAGAAGTATAGATACTGTAGCTATCTGTGGCTTCTGTGTCAGAAGTATAGATACTGTAGCTATCTGTGGCTTCTGTGTCAGAAGTATAGATACTGTAGCTAAGTGTGGCGTCTGTGTCAGAAGTATAGATACTGTAGCTAACTGTGGCGGCTGTGTCAGAAGGATAGATACTGTAGCTAACTGTGACTTCTGTGACAGAAGTATAGATACTGTAGCTAACTGAGGCTTCTGTGTCAGAAGTATAGATACTGTAGCTAAGTGTGGCGTCTGTGTCAGAAGTATAGATACTGTAGCTAACTGTGGCTTCTTTGTCAGAAGTATAGATACTGTAGCTAACTGTGGCGTCTGTGTCAGAAGTATAGATACTGTAGCTAACTGTGCCTTCTGTGACAGAAGTATAGATACTGTAGCTAACTGTGGGTTCTGTGTCAGAAGTATAGATACTGTAGCTAACTGTGCCTTCTGTGACAGAAGTATAGATACTGTAGCTAACTGAGGCTTCTGTGTCAGAAGTATAGATACTGTAGCTAACTGTGACTTCTGTGTCATAAGTATAGATACTGTAGCTAACTGTGGCTTCTGTTTCAGAAGTATAGATACTGTAGCTAACTGTGACTTCTGTGACAGAAGTATAGATACTGTAGCTAACTGAGGCTTCTGTGTCAGAAGTATAGATACTGTAGCTAAGTGTGGCGTCTGTGTCAGAAGTATAGATACTGTAGCTAACTGTGGCTTCTGCAATTTTTGCGTTTGATTTATTCTTATGTATTCTGTAAACAAATAAATTCTGCAATGATGTTGATTCCAAATGATTGTCGTGCTTAGTATCATTAATATGATTTTTAAATGTCTGATTTGGAATTTTAACTTTAAAGGATGAGACGAAGTCTGAAAATGTAAACAATCTGTTTAAGCGATGAATACACTTCCGATTCAATTATTCTGCTAAAGCTCTCAACTATTGTTGATGGTTTCTATGCTCGAGACACATCAGCTTTCCCTAAACTGCGGCAGGACTACTCCGATAGGCATGGTACCAGGAACATCCACAATACTTTACCCAGGGCATTTAAACATTGAAATAAAGAAAAAGATTATTTTCTCTACGAACAGTAAAATCATTGTCAACAGTCTACCAGAGGATGTGATATCAGCACATCAATAAATACATTTAAGGACAGACTCGATAACCACTGGATGGATCAGGAAATTATTTACTTTCATACATGTATGTGTGTACATGTATATATATATATATTTAAAAAACATGTTAAGCCCGGTGGAGAGGATCATATAGATCCTGTATCGGAAAATAAACTAAACTAAACTAAACTAAACTAGACTAATTGGTAGTAACAATATAAGACATGTAACATTATTCCGGCCGTTCTATCAAGGGATACCGCTTATAACTAAAACAATGATTACAGGCTCGTGGCAACTAATATGGTGGTCCGCTTCTCCATTTCAATAAAAAGGTATTCGTCTTTAACTGGAATAGCTATTTGTGTTTTCTTTTATTGAAGTAATTCGCTTTACTACTGCAGCAACAAAAAACACAAACTTAATATCATTGCACACAGTGTACACGCCACACCGTGACTTTCTCTACAGTGTGAATACAGTACAAAATTCATGTATATATATAATAATGTAACAGACAATGTACGGTAAACATTTATTAATGCATTGTCTAGACCAAATATATCATTATATATTAAAATATAAAATAAAGTCCTCACCTACTTTCAAAATACACGAAAACGCCACCACAAGTATGCTACACGAGGCCATTGTCGCCATTTCCTTTTGCCAGAAATCCAAAGTAAGTATCCAAATCTATAATTAGACATCGACATGGCGGGAAAAGTCACGTTCTGACCTCTCGAAGTCGTTTATCTAATTTAAAATATGGATCACTTTTCGTGTTTGAGGTCAAGAACACTATCTAGTCATGTGACCTTTTATTACGAATTCCGTGCCAATATAGACTTCAATACCACGATGTCTGTGATTTGGTCCACTTTATGAATAAAGTCAAATATGGAATTGAGGTAGTATATCGGCCGCTGACCTATCACACAGGTCGTCAGAGATCTGTTTTATAAGATATAACGTGTTGTAAATGTTATCAAACGGTTTTGACAAAAAATAGATATAATGAGAAGAAATTGTCTTTAGGTGTCCACAGATACAAGTACTTCACCACAGGAGATTGATTCTGAACAGGTCATCATTGAGTACACTGGGTCGATTTTTCAAAAGTTTAATACAAAGCGTGATCGAAATTGCATTTAAGCTATCTTTAAGTGTAGTAAGAGATATGTCTAATCAAATAGAGATATCTTTAAAACATTTACAACTGTCTAAATGCAATAGAGATATCTCGTATAATTAGGATTACTTGAGATAAATAAATAGTTATATTTTGGGAGGCACGGTAGTCAAGACGTCGGGCTCGTGACCGAAGGGTTGCGGGTTCGAGTCACGTCAGGGTACTGTGATGTATCTTTGAACAAGATTGTTGATTGCTGATTATTCCAGTCCACTCAGCTGTAAATGAGTAATATTTATAAGAACCTCGAATTATTATTTATTATGTATATCTCTTATATTAAATGGTATTGAATGGTAAGAATGCTTACCATATCAAACGACCATGTAGATGGAAAAATACCAAAGTTAGTTTAAAAATATATACATGTAACACTTAACAGATATAACGCCAAGCGAAATAACGAAATAACGAAAAGACGAAAAACCGCCAAAGCGAAATAACGAAAAAACACCAAAGCGCCAAAGCTAAATAACGAAAAGACAAAAACCCGCCAAAGCGAAATAACGAAATAACGCCAAACCGAAGTGAAAATAACGCCAGAGCGTATAGAGATAAAATGGCTTCTTTTCTCCCACCTTATTTCGCGGGCGACAAAGCGAAAAGACGAAATGTCATATATAAGCCACCATAATAGTTACAGACAGAAACTGTTTAATTGTATTTGGCATCATTACATGTTAAACCTCAGTGACAGTTACAAAATTTTAAATTCAATCCGGTGTTTCAGGATGGAACAGGAATTCTAAATATCGATATAACGACAATCTCAATTCTACATCAAATTATTGCAATGTTTTCCGTTATTTCAGTGACAGTTACAAAAAAAAATATTTAACTAACAAATCTATACATTTACTTTTATAGACATATGGTCAAATATGTAATATGCACTTTTTTCTATATCAATTACCAAACAGTTTTTTTTTCCACCTTATTTGAATCATTCTTTTTGTGACCTGACGGAAGCTCACAGAGGATTTAATTCTTAATGTGGGAGGAAGCCGGAGTATCCGGAGAAAACCCGCATGGTCGGGCAGGTAACCGGGATTGAATCCGGCCATCTTGGTGAAGACGAGCGCGCTATCCACTGCGCCGACCGACCCATCATATACGTTACGCACAAGAACAACTATCTGCTTTAGGTTTGAAAATGGCGTCATTGATGCAAAAATTAAATTGTGTATACATTTTTACCAATCATCAACGATGCAAAAAATCTACATATGGGAGACCGGGGACAGTTGGGCCACCCCTGATATTTTTGTTTTTGAGCTAATATTTACAATTTTAAAGATCTTAGCAGTTTAGTTGGCTAGGCATTCACATGAAAAAATGGCAAGGAAAACTCTAATGTAAGATTACTAAACAAATTCATTTTGAGAAAGAAAATCATGATCTCGCTTCTAGTGATGCGAACTTTCGCTAAAAAAATACGGTCAAACGTGTAACACACTGACAGCTTCAAATGATATACATGGACATAAAAGCAAAGCCAAACACTCACTACCATATTGCTGTACGATAAGAATGTATTGAAAATCAATTTGGGTCCGGACAGTTTCAGCCAATGATACCTGGCAAGTTCGGCCCATGTAACACATAAAAAGTCGAAAAGTTGGCGGTAAAATCTGACGTTGCATGCTTTATAACGTCATAATTAAGCTGATTCTAATGGGGCCGAACTTACACGAATGCCAACAAGTAAAAATTAAATGATGTTCATAAACGGACGTGCTGCCATACTTTCCAAAACGGACTTTAATAAAAATGGTCCGAATTTGCCCCGATCTCCCCTATTGTAATGTCGGTCTTAGTCTCATTAGAGTTAATGTGTTATTGTTATCACTCGACTAGCCGACTTTAAATAAATTTTTATCTTACCTCATTCTGAAAGCAGTATTATCTCATTCCGAATCAGTAAATATCAGAGATCAACAAAAGCTTCGCTCTTTTAAGGCTTTGCCTTTTCATATTGGATTATACCCTGACTATTATCAACACATATTACCTGTAGTTACAATGTTACCTGTACCTACTGTGATACAAGGTAGCTGGTGAGATTAAGGACCTCATATCACTGTCAAAAACTGTGACTACAAATGGGAATATTTTCTCCGGCATGACTATAGATCTGATATGTGATTTATAAAAACAAAACCAGGGCCGCTTTCGTTTTTCGCGATTCGAACGGTTCAACCGGTTGGACCAGAGTTGCTCGTTTATGAAATAACGTCGGACCTAGTAATCTGATGCTGCTTTTAGGTGAGCCTTGACAAAGCCTTGTGAGGCCCACATAAACATTTGAAGATCCGCCAGGGTTTATACCCAAAAATGTTACATTTAAAAACAGAAAAACCGGTTGCTCTGCATTAACGAACAGGCCAATAACTACCGAGAATTTAATGAAGATTTAAAGTTGGAAAAAAAAATGTCCAAGTTTCGTACCCTGGATCTGCGACAGTACCTTGGTCGGTCACGCTACTGTGTGCACGGAAAAAGTGCAGAGAAAGATTATTTCTTAGAGCTCAACTACATCTTATCTAAGGTGGGACGATGTCAGATATTACTCCGTCCACTGACAACATCTAGGACACTGTTGCGGTGTTTTTTCTGTCACATGTCAGGCGCGTGGTCACAATGGTGAAACCTGTCAGAAACGTTAAATGTAGTACGTTATTACGTACACTGAGGGACGGTTCGCTGTCTCGTATAATATCAAAATTGAAAACAATAATTAATAATCGATAGTTTAAATAAACAAAATAAATAATCTTCATCAGATAGATATTTGTCTTCGATAACGTTTGTACTGTGTCTGAAATACAGATTTAAATAGTTCCACGTACTTACAAGTCGTGACCAGTATGGTTACCAATGAAAACGCTTCTAACGTGTTACCAACATATGTGTAACGAGAGCTGACCTGTTGGTATCAGCAGTGAGCTAACGTGTTACTAACATATGTGTAACGGGAGCTGACCTGTTGGTATCGGCCGTGAGCTAACGTGTTACTAACATATGTGTAACGAGAGCTGACCTGTTGGAATCGACAGTGAGCTAACGTGTTACTAACATATGTGTAACGAGAGCTGACCTGTTGGAATCGACAGTGAGCTAACGTGTTACTAACATATGTGTAACGAGAGCTGACCTGTTGGTATTGGCGGTGAGCTAACGTGTAACTAACATATATGTAACGGGAGCTGACCTGTTGGTAGCGGCAGTGAGCTGACGTGTTACCAACATATGTGTAACGAGAGCTGACCTGTTGGTATCGGCGGTGAGCTAACGTGTAACTAACATATATGTAACGGGAGCTGACCTGTTGGTATCGGCAGTGAGCTGACGTGTTACCAACATATGTGTAACGAGAGCCGACCTGTTGGTATCGGCGGTGAGCTAACGTGTAACTAACATATATGTACCGGGAGCTGACCTGTTGGTATCGGCAGTGAGCTTACGTGTTACCAACATATGTGTAACGAGAGCCGACCTGTTGGTATCGGCGGTGAGCTAGCGTGTTACTAACATATGTGTAACGAGAGCTGACCTGTTGGTATTGGCGGTGAGCTAACGTGTAACTAACATATATGTAACGGGAGCTGACCTGTTGGTAGCGGCAGTGAGCTGACGTGTTACCAACATATGTGTAACGAGAGCTGACCTGTTGGTATAGGCAGTGAGCTAACGTGTTACCAACATATGTGTAACGGGAGCTGACCTGTTGGTATCGGCAGTGAACTGACGTGTTACCAACATATGTGTAACGAGAGCTGACCTGTTGGTATCAGCAGTGGGCTAACGTGTTACAAACATATGTGTAACGAGAGCTGACCTGTTGGTATAGGCAGTGAGCTAACGTGTTACCAACATATGTGTAACGGGAGCTGACCTGTTGGTATCGGCAGTGAGCTGACGTGTTACCAACATATGTGTAACGAGAGCCGACCTGTTGGTATCGGCGGGGAGCTAACGTGTTACTAACATATGTGTAACGAGAGCTCACCTGTTGGTATCGGCAGTGAGCTAACGTGTTACTAACATATGTGTAACGAGAGCTCACCTGTTGGTATCGGCAGTGAGCTAACGTGTTACCAACATATGTGTAACGAGAGCTGACCTGTTGGTATCAGCAGTGAGCTACCGTATATCAAGTATGATACAAACATATTTTAAATCTATAACTACAGTCATCAAATCTAAAGTAAGTTACTGTTTTAACTTCATTATATTCTTATATTTTCTTTAATTGTTTATAACTGTTCAGATGGTAGACATACGCTGACATACTAAGTGATATATTGTTTATTTAGGATGTGATCAATCTTAGATATCAGACTACATTATATATATTGTGTGTATTTTATAATAGAAGGGTTTTGTTTACAGGTTTCATTATGGACCACGTATTAAAACCTTGTTGTATGGTGTTAGTGGCGTGACACTTAAATAAAGTGTTTCATTAATATCCCCGATGATGCCAAACGTTTAAGTGCACTAATCAGAAGTTTGATTTATGCAGTAAGACAATCAGAGGTTCAAGGTCATATTCGGACCATTGTCAATAAACCTGCAGGCAGGAGATGACATCGAACCTAATCACGCGCGTGCGACGCTTTATGCATTTCTAATCGCTGAGCCGGACACCGCCCTTTGTTTCCGTCAATACAGATTAATGGTCAACTCTGACAGCCGGGCCGAATTAATTGATTTTTATGTCAACGGTTAACTGTGTCATCTTCAGGAAATCATTTCTTCAATGGACTTAACCAAATAAATCAAGAAATGTACCCAGAAAATTTAAAACTTAGACACAGTAATCTTAAACAGAACAAACCAATAAATTGTAACTATAGTAAACTTAAACCTTAAATAAAGTACAATAAAACTTTAAACATGGTAAACTTATCACTTAAATAAAGTAAACTAAAACTTTAAACATGGTAAACTTATCACTTAAATAAAGTGAACATAAAATTAGCATATCAATAAAAAAGTTGGGACTGTTTGAAAGATGGCGGCTGCCAAAACAAGTAGAAGCTGAGTTCTCAGAACATGTTCGATTTTTCTACTTGAAAACTTTTTAGCAATCAACGGATGCACTAAGGCAAAAGGTAATAGATCAGAGTGTTATAAAATGCTAAAATTCCACTCCAGAAAAGCATATATATATTAAAGTACAGTGTTTGCAAGGTGACGGGAGCAGGCAATCGGGACGTTCAGTCGACGACGAGTTTGAATTTACTCAAAAAACGAATTCAAAAAATAATTCTGAGTATTTATGGACCTATGGTGTAGGTTAAGAAGCCTTTACAGATTAATAATAATCTAAACTGGTTGCAAAATGTCCTATAAACAAGTAGAAATATGTGTTATAAAGAGGTAATCTAGATTTATATTTGTGCGGTTTGGACACTCCGTCCATAACTTACGACTGTGTACGATTGTGACATTGAATGCAAAGTTGTAAAAATGTACGATGGGGACTGCATATTCGCATATAGCGATTGAGTGGGTGGGACTTCCATCACTTAAATGTGTGTTTGTCTTTATAATTGCAAATACAAAGAAACACATGTTACTAATGGAGCTGCACTACTGTTACGAATGTAGTTAATCGCTAAAAAGTTTTCATATAGAAAAATCGAATACGTTCTGATAACTCACCTTCTACTTGTTTTGGCAGCCGCCATCTTTCAAACAGTCCGAACTTTTTTCAACGAACAGGCTACACTACAGTGATGGACGTTGCTTAAATCCTACATTGACTGTCGCTGACTGTGGTAAAACGATTCTAAAAGGAACAAACACTTTGCGATTTAGTATGGAGACAGCCAATAACATTCTTAAGGCATTTCATCAAATTTTTATGTATTCATGGTAGCTGAATGTAGTGAGAGTATGACTAGCTATAGAGTCTGTATATACTGCACAGCGGAGTGTCTTTCACATCCTAGAATAGAAAAGCAATTTTTAAATTAGCTCCACACACACCACGTACACAGAATATTGTTATTACAAACACCCTGCTACCACGATCAGAACAATGGTACCTGTATTTTAAAGCGTGAGGCGATTGACAAAATATTTGTAGGCCTTATTTGCATAATTCCCTAAATTGTAAACATACAAAACATGCATCTTTCTTGTAACTTCAAACTGCATGGTCTCACGATTCAATACAGTATATCTAATGATTGTAAAGCGCGTTATAGAGTGGCTTATTCTATCTAGACAGGGCGCTATATCAAATAACCTCTGTTACATAAATACACCAAAAATCGAGACTTAGGGGGGATTCTTCAAAAACACTGGGATCGACAGTGATGCAACGGATAAAACAACTAATTTTTCATTTTATTTTTCTCAAACAGATTACTTCCCCAGCACAATAGGATCCTGCCGGGGTTGGGGAGCCCCGGGATCAGCATTTTCACAATCATGTGTCAACATACGAGAGGGCTATCATATTTTCTTTCATACTTTCTAGTAATTATATTATCTTAAAATGCTTAATCTATTTTGATTTTACAAAACTTAAAACGGGCTAACAAAAAATGAAAAATGAAATTAATAAACACACAAACAAATAAATTACATTTTAAAAACAACAGCAGTAACTTTAATATCAAACTATGTAAAACTAGATGAATAAACACAAACAAGTAAAATTACTTGTTTGGGACTAAGTGAACAAATAAAATCTTGAAATCTTTGAAAATTTACCGTAACACACACACAGGTGATTAATAGAGGATTTTACATGAGTGTCCATGTCATATTGAATTTATTAAACGAGTTTAAAAAAATCAATCTGACATGAACACGAATGTAAGATTCTACTCATCATAGAACATCCATACAATGTAATTTGAAAACAAAAATTAAAAAACAGTTAAATAAACATGTTTTCAGCTGACTCTATACAGGTCAAAACCAAAGTACTCCGATCATAGGATTGCCGTTCCGCACAGTGCAAAGTAGTGGAGTTAAAAAAAAAAAAAATCCTATAAACATATAACAAAATAAAATATTTGAACTTCCTTTAGAAAAACAGTAAATGTTTTATATGGTATAGTAAATTAAAATAGTACCTGTAGTGGCGTAGGGATATATTCTGACGGTTTTGACCAATCGCAGCACCTTAGGTTTAATTACACAGGTATAATACCATATTTATGACATGGCCGTATGACATAGTAGAATGGGTCAGTTATGTGATAAAAACAATAAAGTAATATTACCGAATCCTGGTACAGAAATGTGAATCCTACTTTGGAGAACAGTCCTCGAATACAAAATACATGTAATATCCACGGCTAGGGGAATCCACGGAGACCTATCGTGAGCTATACTTGTTCCCGTGGCTACCTATTCCAACTTTAAAACAAATTTTGAACTGAAAATTACCTTGTGAAACTAAAGCCAAAAGAAAGACAAATTATTGTTTAGTTCAGAACTTCAAATATGCACTTACCTATAGAAACTCGAAGATGGATTGGAATACCCAAAGAAAACAGAACTTGTAATCTTTGTTTTAATGAAATTGGTGATGAATATCATTATCTATTTAAGTGCGAACACGTATCTGTTAAACATATAAGACAACTATTTATTCCAAATTACTATTATACTTTACCTAGCCTTATTAAAATGCGTGAACTATTTACTATATGCAATGTAAAAAATGTATTAAATGTGAGCAAATTTCTAGAAAAACTTGAAAAGCTATTGAATGTACGTAATTAGTTTATCATGGTAGCCTTTATGCCTTTGTTATCCGCCATGTATATATGAATATGACACATATTGACCTCTTGTTACATACTTTGTATGTCTGAGAGAACGTTAAATCTGAAATCAGGTGTCTGCCAGACATTCTTGGTCACTAGTGTGTGACTCTAAACAGCATGTCAAGGACTCGAGGTATCTAGCAGAACGTATGTCCACTATCAGAATAGGACGAGAATACATTATACTTGATTTAAATATAAACCTTTACAACTTATGCTAACGCTCACGAACAGAGTGACAGTTGACCGTCTCTAACCCCATCGTTGCTATGGTTTCTGATAATCTTAGAGGTATAGTTGCCATTATATATGAACTTATATAATATAATGCTGTGCATTAACTATCAGCTTTGTGATTGGTCAGTTTCTGATTCCTGGAACCAATCAAATAGCTTACGGTGAGCACACGATTGTTCTAAAAAAAATAGAGAAAATATGTATTTATAAATAGCGTAAAGCTTGGATTTTAAAGATGGTGATGGTAACGGTGGTAGACGGGATTTATTATCGTGGAAACTTAACGTTTTAAGCCATGTGAGCAATGTAGTCCAATCAAATAAACCACTATCGGATGAGGTTTGATTGAATAATGAACAAACATAATCGACTCCATTACAAGTAGAAAGCATCATCACATGATACATATTCGTTAAGCCCGAGCATACAAGCAAACAAAATTGATGAAATATCCGAAGTAGGCGTTCTCGTCAGGATTACAATGTTTCCACGAAATATCTCCTACATAATACATATTCATGAACCACCTACGTGACTGAGACCCGCCCACAACACAGCATGTCTAATCACAAGCCGAACTGTGTTTATTGTAACGAGCACATTGATTGGTTGGTTACAAAACGGATGCTGGGTATTGATGTTAAGTCTGGAGCAGTTTCCCGTGGGGCGTTTTATCATCACACCACACACAACAGAACGGATCCGGCGCACGTGCAACCCTATTCTAAATCTCTTATTGATGATGCTGGCCTTCCGTTCTGTGAATGTGCGCTGAATTATATTGAGACGGAGCCCGGGTTCTTTCCTTTTATGTGGAGCGGATCGAGATTTGTGATTCCGTTTAGTGGTGAAACATCTGATAGGGCCATCCTCACTATTGGAACAGTTTAAAAATAAGTATTTAAACAGTGACAGAACGTTTCATGAGTTGAGCGTTTAGGATACGTCAGACCGGCCTAGGCTTTCAATTTTTCATGAGGTCTTGATCAGGATTGAAGGAAAGATTCGATCATCTTGTCATACCTTTGATGAGGAAGGGCAGGCTTATCTGTAATAGCGTTCTACACATAGTGTCCGCTCGAACAATACAAACATATATTGGACCCTGCATGGTTTTTAATTTGTGACGTCATACTTAACGCATTTTTTTTTTCTCGATTAATGAAAACGCTTTATATATTTAAACAGATGTAAGAATACCTTCATACTTTCTGGAGTTTCATTGTTACTGCTACACAGCAGGAATCTACCTGGGAATACCAAATCGATGAACGAGTGAACGTGAAATATATCTAGCGTTAAACTAATAGACTGTTCAAACTAAATTTTTCATAGTCTCACTTTCAAAAAATTACTTTGTCTAGTTTGTATAACTTGTCAAATTTACGAACAGAAAGACATATTGATTTAATTTCTCTTCTGAATAGTGTACTTTCAGTAACAATCATAAAGCTTGTAGTTTTGACTGTGGAATATCCGTTCACGGGTTTCTAACGAGTGATATAAGTTCTGTACTTGAATAGGAGCGTTGATAGCTAGCTAAGGCGTCATCGGTAAGGTGTAACGTACGTAGTGGACATAGGAAATCATTCAATACTTCTTAGTTTCATAAACTTCGAAAACATACACGGACAATAAAATCGAACGTACAGTCAGTCATTCTCCGTATAACGTCAGACATTGGCAGATGTTTACAAGGGAAATCATGACATAAACACTTTATTTGACTAAATTGCGATCTAAGAGACATCTGAAACTTTTCTGGAAGTGAACAGGAAGTGAAGTATACAAACCGAACTCTAGGAAACCTACTGACAGAATACAATAAACCGCCAAAATGGACTTCGAAGAGTACAGAAAAAGAGGTGAGTGGTTTGTATTTCAATTTTTCATGAATATCTAAAATCGTATTGCTTTCAGTTTCGGTAATTACAGTGTATCTAGTTTGACAGTTAGACAAGTCATCGGAAGATGTTTAATAGTTTGGTGTGTTCGCTTTGTTGAACTGCCGCGCTCTTGGTCTGAACTAAATAAAAAGCGTGGTCTACATTGACAGCCAAACCTGCTCACGTGACCACCTATGTTAAGAGATAAACCGTGTTAAGAGACCACCTCTGTTAGGAGGCCAGCTCCATTATGAGACCACCTCTATTGAGAGACCACCTGTGTTAAAAAGTCACCTTTTCGACTTTCTCTGGGTAGTCTTTTTATACCATTTTGACTGCACTATTACCTTAACACAGAACCGTCCTTTAATTTTGTAATTCTTAAGCGTAGACGACATATTCAGTGAAAGAGCGAAGTATGTAAATATACATGTACTTTACAATAATGGTATTTCAAAACACTTTCTTATTAGGTGTGAAGTTGTCATCGCCACACAAATTTGTTTTTTAAATCTTTTTTATTTCCGTTTATTTCATATATACAAGCATTGTTGCATGTAGAGAACACGATGTCTATAACTAAATTTTCATAGTTTACCCCTTTGTACTATTTTACCTCTCTTAAGCCTATCCTGCTGCTGATTTTATAAGATAAACGACGTTTTATATGATTTTAATTTTGATTCCTCAAATGGTTGCCGCATACTAAACGATTTGTCTGGCCCTAAACGACCATGGTTGTCGATGGGCCGTTTAACTCAAACAAACGGTAAAACCTCGATATAATGTCATTCGTTTGGTCTCGGTGGCAGACAACGCATCATGTACTCGTTTTCTTTATTCTGAACAATTTTGAAGTAATTCTCCCTCGGCATATCGCCAACTTGACCCCTTTATATCGCCAATTTTCGTCTCAACGTTATATCGTACCGGTATCCTATCGCGATACTTTCTTGTGTATCGTATCGATTTGTTTTGTTTGCCTGTATCGTAATTCGCTAAAAGTACTTGAATTAGCAATCCATTTTTATCAAACTCTTAATAAGTGTATTGATATTTTTTCAATCCTACAGTAAAGATGTGGTCCACTGTGCAGTTATACCTAAAGTACGAGAAATTACACAAATATATATCGCGATAGCATTTACTATTGGAGTCTACGACAAAACTCGATAAATCCTGCACACAATCATTATAAAGTTGACCTTTTAAGAAAATATTTGTACCTTGATACATATCGTATCGTAAGTATCGTACCGCGATACGTATCGTATCGTGATGTATGACTATCATTGCAGTTCAGAATATAATGATTTGATGACTTCGGTAGAGGATTCCTCAGTTTGGTAAGAGTAATATAGACTATATGATTTGATGTGTTGGTGAGCAGTGTATTGTAAGGATATCAATTTTTTGGTAACGGCAACGTTCTCTGTGTTTTATAATTTTTTCTGTATCATTACGCGTAAACGAATCAGTGTGACGTCATCTTCAGGATACCCGTACCAATGCTAAAATACGAAATTGTGAATTCGAAACTTATCCTTTTTCCGGAATGACTACTATACAGTTTTGATAAATCGTTTTTGAAAGAAAGGTTTATCATGCAGGACTTCTATGGAAAAAAAAATGGAGATGAAATAAAAAATAAAAATCAACAATAGAGTTCCGTGGTGTAAACATTTTAGTGTGCGTCTTCACTCTGGACCTTACATTGTTTTACTGTTGTTCTTACTGACTGAGCTCCTCTATCAAGGACATATTGTGCTAGTTACATCCAACACGAAATTAACGGGAAGTCATTGTTCATACGAAAAACCACAGCGCAGTGGGACAGGGATCCTTTAAGCTAATTTCGTTCAAACCCCCACTTCCATTTCCCCTGGAACAAATAAAGCAAAAATGAAGCCGGGTGGAATATATTGAATTAAATTCCAGCCAGGCTTCGTTTGTGATTTGTCTTCCTTCAAACTTTTTTAGTTCGATAGTTCAAAGACATTTGATTGTCATACGTACAAAAGAACTAGATACAGGTTGTTACAAGATTATCAACGCCCTCTCCAAAGTCAATCCGATATTACGTAACATCAAGGAATACTTCCTGTTAACGTCATACTTGTACCTAAAGTAATCAAATATAGATTTATGTTTCGTCATCTCGTTCGTTGTTTTATTGTAATGTTTCTCCTAACCAACTATCTATGTTCAATGTACGTCACGTTTTCTGTTTAAACAAAGTCCTTCCCAAATTTGTATATCGATGTTTTTTCTTGTATATAAACCTTCCCGTTTTTGGGCAAAGAAGCTGTTTTTGTTGCGATAGCTTTTTTAGGGCGAGTTTTTTTTTATGTTTCTGCTAACTAACAATCTATGTTAAATCTGCGTCACATTTTCAGACAGTGTTCAAACAAAGTCCTACCCCAAATTTTAATATAATTTTCCTGTATGTACTTTCATCAATACATCGTTAAGAGATTTCTTTCCATTTCGTTAAATTTCAAGTGAGGACTTGGTATTTTGTGTCTAAAAACTGAATGAAAGCAATATTAATAACATCATAGAAATACACATGTAAATATCGTATATCCTCATATATCAGAATAAATATCCAAAGAAATTTGCATGATTTTGCGAACTAGTATCTTCACAAATTAGCAAAATACCATATAGCTTGCAAAAATTAACTCATATGCAGTAAATCGTCGCGCTGCACTCAAAACACTTTCGAAACGAGTTTAACCCTAAACAGGCGCCATTAGACATGACCATATTTTTCGAACAGACGACATTTAATTGAGAACTCAAACACGTGGTTTATCGCAGTGTAATGTACTTAGCAGCCATTACCGAGTGGCACCGTTCTCTATAATGGGAACGATTCCAAACTCTTCTGAAATTGACAAGTTGGTTTTTGAACATCGCTGAATGTCGTTTTGGCCCTACCATTATCCTCTTGTCATCGCGGGAACAAACTGTTTAAGTTAATAGAATGATTATTGTGCCCACTGTTTATAAAACAATTGTAACCTCGGAATTCGGTTGAGCTTTTTCTGCTTTTAAACTGAATGGTACACAATGTTGTGTTAAATCCGGGAATGAAATCACAAATCGTATTTCAAATTACGAACGAGTGTTCGTTGCAATGCAAAATGAATCTTTTACCATAAAAAATACAATTTTTTAAATTAGTTTTTTTTAATCATTTTTGAAGTTTGTCAGATTTGTTGATCCATAGTCTGGGAAAAGTTAAAACCTTTCGCTCGGTTCTTTATTGTGTGACTAGATGATCACTGCATATAGTTTGCTTGTTCAATTTGAAAAGGCGTATTTTAACATTTCATTATTTTTCGTATACTGGAAACATTTTAATTTGTCGCTGATAAAACTCACTTGTGTTCCTTTTATTTCGAAATATTTCAAAAGTTATCATAACCTAACCTTCCACCGAAATATAAAATTCACGAATCGCTCCATGCGTCATTTTTAGAACGGACAACGCCCAATGTCGGTAGCTTTGACAAAGAACAATGACCTTACCGCACTTAAATGTAAATCATTGTTTTTTTCTAGGTTCTGTCTGATTTAATGGTTTTAAACTTTAAACCGTTTTTCAGAAAAGGAACAATAGTTGATGTTCTAGTACTGAATTATAAATATTGTGATCTCTTTTCCCTTTTTGACAGAACAATAAAAGCTATTGTTACCTTGTGAACAACGAGAAGACGATTATCGTTTGTTTAATACCTGTCTATTTTACATGTGATTTCGTTACCCGAGACTCACCTGTATGAGTCATTGTCTGTCTGTCTGTCGTAATAAACGGGGTTCTATATCAAATATACAACACAAAGATGTAATTATTGTTGCGATATATTTTACGGCAGAAAAGAATAACATAAAACCAGAAAAAACAAGCGATACAACGATCGTTTTTTTCAGCCCCAATATTTCGGTCGCATGGCGAAACAATGGATTCAAGTAAGCTCTTTCGAAGTAGGTAATAAATGTCACTTTCACTAGATAAAATACGACAAAATCTACAATAAAGTATGTTACACTATACTCATTTCTAAAACACGTTATTATCACAAGAAACCATACAATGATTTCAACAGTAACCTCTGGCTTTGATCTGTGGTTGATTGTCTGACGATGTCTGTGCGTCCACGGAAGGAAAGGATGCAGTGTCGTCCTTCATATCTATCTGGAATGTCGTGCGTGCGTTTTTGTTCGTTGTTCCTTCTCCTGACCACGCACAATTCCCACAAAGTCCCCTCTTCTCGCTGTGGCCGAATTGTTAAGGCGTCTAAATTCTGCTACCACTAGCCCTCAACCACTTGGTCGCGGGTTCGAGGCCTACGTGGGTCAGTGATTAGATACATCCGCAGGTCGGAGGTTTTTCTTCGGTTACTCTGGCTTTCCTCCACCACCAAAATCTGGCACGTCCTAAATTGACCATAGCTATTAATAGGACGTAAAAACAAACAAACCAAAACCAAACCTCTCCTTTGTTCTTCACGCTGTAAAGGTAAAACCGTCGTTTTCAAGACTGTCCGTGTCTGCCATATTGACCTGAATCTACGATTGTGATTTGTAACTGAAAGATACTGGGATAGTCAATGAAATGATGCTTATTAACGTTGACCTTATCAAGGATGAATATCTTTGTACAGAATGTAACAGCCATGGGTAAATGGAGACGGAACCTATCGGAAAACTGTAATAAAGAAAGAGTACAAAGGAAGCAAACAAAAGATGCAGATTCTAAATGCTGCGAAATTGGTTCAGCAGATATTTTTTTATTCTGAAGGGCCGATATTAGGCGCCTCTTCGCATATCAGATTCAATCTATTTGTCTGTTTTCAAATGTAACATTATTTCCAAAACGAAAAATTCTGGTCCAACTGGTTTAACCGCCTGGATCGCGATAAACTACTGCGGCCCTGAAAAGTCTACTAGGCAGAAGACAACGAAAAATC